AACAATAAGACTAGGGACAAAAACAGTAAAAATACGAATAGCAGTAGCAGCAGGACTTGAGGCAAAGGCACGAGTAGGAACAAGGACAACAACAATAAGAACAAGAAAATGAACAACAGCAACAACGACAGCGAGAGGAACAACAATGGCAAGTGATAGGGCAATGGAAATGAAAAGTGATGCGTTGTTGATTGACGACAATGAAACAAGGGAGGGGTCTTTGGCAAGGACAACCACCACATGCCATCCAGATGCTTCTTGTTCACGATCCTGAAGTAGTGGTGGCGCAACCAAAATAATCACTTCGCATCCATGCAACCTCTTTCCCGCGCACGACATTTTCCTGACACTCCGCAAAACGCTTTCAACAAAGGTGTCAAATTCCTGTTCGCAAAACTGCTTGGCCGGTTACAACGGAAGCCTGTAGCAGCACAACCTAATGCCATTCCAGGGATTTGAACTTGAGCTTTGATTCCAACTGCATAACTGAGAAGTTTGCTTCATTTTCTTTTACAGTTGAGAAGTAGTACCTGTTATAAAGACTTGAGGCCTAAATAGTTCCCGCAGTTGGAATTTTAACTATTCAAAAACAGTGGCATCAAAATTCTTTCCCAAACGGACAACTGTTAAGTACTTTTGGTCATGCATTTTCTGCCGCTGTGGCGACCTAAGACGACTTCTTTCAAAGTGTTTTATCTGCACTGATGAGACAAAAGAAAAATGTACGATTCAGGAATAGAATGCAGCATTGAGTAACTTCCCTGACCGAGGATCTTCACAGCGATTGTTCGGATAGTGTTGGTACTTTTGGTATTTATCTCTGTGTACGGCTGGGGCAGTAACAATAGCAGACAAATTCAAATCTCATATTTTGCCGACTGTTCACGATCAGTCGCTTTCTAAGGGACTGCTGCAGCAACTGGATCTATGAAGAGCCTTCTCGCTGACGGCCCAGGCCTTTCTGTTATTTTTTGGGTAATGAACCAAAATTGTCGTGAAATAAGAATCATGCCCAGCAAGATTCGGCTTTTTGTGTCTTCGCAATGAAATGTTAGCTTAAGCTCCACAGTTTGTGCCAGATCTCGCTCCAGTATTGCGAATTATGTAGTTAGGTCTAAATTAGTTTTCTGCACAGCAGAAGTGCGTAAATGCTTACACATAATATCGCAAACACGGAAATTTCGGATGAAATCATAATGTATACGTTTATGCACGTATGTGTTTACGCATAAACTTACACGCACTTCGAAAAACTGCAAAAGAAATAAACTAAGTCACGAAATGGAAAAATGGCAGTAATATAGACTTTCATAACACGGTGTTGCGGATGCCCAGCTTTTGAATAGTCTAATAAATTCAGAAGTTCGTCACAGTGATTTTCCATTTAACCCAGGGGCATCAGCAACGCAAAACTTTCGGATTCGTAGCTGGGTTCGTTGTTAGGCTGAAAAGTAGACCGATTTTGGGGATCGTAGGGATCTACTTCAGATTTCATGCCATTTAACTCATCATTTGG